GTGTAGAGGTTAGAATATTTGTGTGTCTTTGAGGCAGGAGCAGAGTGTGGCATATGGACTGGGGAAGTGGGAGTAACCTGCTAATTGCAAAGCCTTAAAACAGTGATGGCCAACCTTTTAGAGACTAAGTGCCCAAACTGCAAACCAAACATGAAGTGTCAGCACTGCAATTAAACTGTAATATTGAGCTTATAGTTTAGAAAAACAGCTCATCTATTAACATTGTGTGTCTTAAAAACATAGTAGAGCTTTCAGTGATACAAATAGCTTTTTATGAAAAGGTTCAAGTTTGCATTTGGTGTGCAAACTGACACTCAACTGCTTCTGGGGGTCTGTGCTGGGACAACTTGGCTCCTGTGTCCAGAGAGAGGGCGGTATGCCTGCTGTAGCACATGTGCCATAAGTTCACCACCACTGAACTAGAATATATGCACAGAACAGTTCTCAAAGTCTTGCATGTGGAACCAGTTAAAGAATGCTATCTTCAATTCTTCTCATAAAAACTCAAACAGGTGTTCAATAGGACAGCCTAAACATAATGTCTGCCTAAGTAGGAAATGAAAAAGGAAGTTATCATTGAGCTGTACGCTACTGTGCTATTTCACCACTGTACTTTCATAATACAGTCTGTGCTTTTTTCCTACTTTGACTTGACTCAAACTCACTCTGAGTGGCACGTTTGTTTTCTGAATTTAGTAAGCTTCTCTTAGTTCAATAAGAAGAAAGGTTTGTGCTAATATTGTTTAGACAAGATACCATGTCTGCATCTTGTCCTCTGAATAACCACTATGAAGACAACAATATGCAATGTATTAATTATTGTAACTGTTCTACTTACCTGTTTTGAAACTGTTTCATTGCTATTTTATCCTTTTTTTCTCATTAAATGAATAAAAATTTAAAAACATTTCCTTCCTTTTGTGCTTAGCTTGACCGATACTTCGTTTAGGACATAACTTAGAAACCACCTCCAGAAGGAGACTTTAGCAGCACAAAGCACAGAAACATTTTGGGACTGGAAATTTGTGTCATCTTTGAATCTATAATGTGTTCAGTTTTCATTCATCACAGGAGAAAATTAATGGCATGCCAATAGTAAAAGGGTAATGACTCATTTTATAGGTGAAAGGATGGCTGACTTTACAGGAGAAAGGAAAGCCTTGAATAATTTTTCTAAGGAGAATGATCTAAAATATTTTTTTTCTAAAAACATTCTTTGAAATTTTGGAACCTGCTTCTCTAATTAAGGTGTTTTCTACCTTTTGCATTTCTAACTAAACTAATTTATGAATTTAAAGCATCTTTGAGGGATTTGGGATGTGATAGGACTAGAAGAAAATAGGCATAAACAAGCCTAGAGAGTACAGATATACATGAATTATGTAACTTTTATTATATCCTTAAGTTTCAGTCTTTATTATTTATTTTTGAAATTTTTGTTATTACATATTTTCAGTACATAGTGATGAAATTCATCATGGGAAGTTGGCACATTAATTCGTTTTGCTTCCCTTCCACCTCCCAACCCTCCCTTTCTCTTCATCTCTTTGTCCCTGTTATGTTTGAAATATATTTATCCTTCTAATTGTATGGTATATTGTTACCAGATTTTAGGGCTGGATTCTACTGCTGGGGGTGGTTTCTAGGTTCCTCCTGTCATGAGGGAAGAATTGATAGAGACAAGTACAAATGGTAGCAAAATTTTTTAAAAGGTAGGAAACAATACAGGCTGCACAGGCCCTGTGGAATGAGTTTAAACGAAGTAAAAGTAGGAAAATAAGTCATTGTATTTTGCGAGGATGGGCCATGCACGTGAGAGAGAACATAGTGGCAAACACCTGATGTAGACCATCCTTTTTGTATCATCACTCCACAGGCTACCAGGTCTAAGCTAGCCTATCAAAAATGTGCTTGAGTTCTCACAAGCAGTCC